CCCCAAAACCCCAAAACCCCAAAACCCCTTGAATAAATATTTCAAAATTTGACATTAAATGATGTAACCACTAAATTAATATCAAATATCGATTTTCACTTCAATTTGATACATACTTCCAAATTATTTGTCAGGATCAAATTTAATCAATTCAAATCAAAGCAATTATCCTTCATTGCTCTTGAATAGATTACTTATCAAAGGCTGTTCTGAACAAATCTAGCTTAGTTTTACCTGAGCTGCTGTTCACGAACTTATGCGTAGTAACCAAATTATATTGCATTTCAACTGATTTATCTTTAACTCCCACATGAGTATATTCCTCAGACTCAAACATATAAGAACCATCTTAAGTTGGAAATTCTGAGGTGTATCTATCATACACGTATGGAGTAACAACAGCATCATAAAGTGACAAAATAGCATAAGAGTGTTAAGCTTCCCTAGTTTGATCTAGATTCATTTCTGCGAGGAAAGAAGAAAGATTCTGAGGCATCGAGCCATTTCCATTGCTTTGGAAACCTGGGTAAAACCCGCTTTGCTTACTGCAAGATTTATATTCATCATAGAAATCCATTATACAATGAGAAATTCCCCAGTTTGGTCCAGCTATACCAATAAATGTATCGACGAATTCTGTCAGAGGAGGACCGAGATCAAATGGGTATCCAACACTCTTGACAACTCCACCCTTCAAAACTCTGCGAGCGAAAGTAACTCCCATTGAGTGTGATATTACATCTACTTTTGTGGCATTTGTGTATTCCAAGACTGCGTCAATAAATTTTCTAATGTAGACCATATATTCTCTTGAGTGATAGTGCTAGCTTTCGTGGGGGATGTCTGCAAAACCCCATGTAGTTGCATAGAGCTCACTTTACTTATATCCCTAAGAAAGAAAGTATTCTATTGTGTGCACGAATCCAGCTTAGTTGCGAGCATCATCTCCTGCTGCCAAGTCACCATTTCCATGCACAAAAATAACTGGTTGACGAGTGATTTAATCATCATCATTTAATTTTCCACCATAAGATCCTCCTAAAAGATCTGACCTGTTAAAACCGTAAAACTCATAGCCAGACTCATTCAAAAATGATATGAAATGATAAGTCAGCCCGGTTTCTGCTTCAACAGATTTTGACCTTTGAGAAGCAAATGTAGCTTTGATTGACTCAAAGGCGGCTAAAATCAGTATGCAAGTTATAATTTTCATTCACAGTAATAATAAGTATATTTATTTAAAATGCTGAAATCAGAATATCCAAATATGTAATATTAAAATCAATCAACTTATTCGCTAATTTTTTGAAAATTGGGGTTTTGGGGTTTTGGGG